CATTGGAGACAAAAGACAAGAGATTGTATCCAGCTCTCTCGAATAGGAACCAAAACCCAGTAGAAGAGACTAACAAAATGAGTGCACCAGTCCAGTTTCTCCATAGCAGCAAATCAGCGACTGCAAAATCACAGTACCAAAAACAAAACCCAAAGATTCAAATTCAAAGCATCATCATGTGCACATTTTGAGAGAATCCTACTGTTGAACGTTTTCGTAACTATGATCAATTCACAAACTTCCCAAATCGAACGAAACCCTAAAACACAATTGATCAAATCCAGAACTACACCAATCAAACGCAAAAAACCAGCCACTCCGGATTAAGCACGAACCCAAACACATAAAAATCGATAATCTCAACAATTCTTCATCGAATCGAGAGCAAAACTCGAAGAAACCAAATTGGGATTGAGAAGAAACAGAAAGAAGATGCAAATTAGGGTTCACCTGAACCACCACCGAGAGATTGGTGAACAGAAACGCGTGTTGAAGAAGCGGAATCTCCCATGGTGAATCAATTAGGGTTCTTCCGCATAGAATTTGGAGGCGAAAACTGAAATACGAAATCGATAACTTGATTTGAGACCGCTTCGTGATTAAGGAACAACGCAGAGGTTAGGTTTGGATTAATCGTGACTGCTTTCTTCCTAGAATCAAAGGATCAAAGATTTTCCTTTACGCTTCGGCGACAAAGTTTTCAAGATTTTAATTATCAAATTTAAGTATTATTTTTTCTTTTTCTTTCTGGCCACCTTTCTAATATTAAAAAAAAATTAAGAAAGCCTAAAGTTGGTTGGCAAATAAAAAGAAAACACCGAAAGATTTCATTTTTCTTTTATTTATTTAGCATTGAAAAATCACTTTAAACCTAGTTTTCAGAGTCAATTATTTTGTTCTTTTATTTTTTCCATACAATTTGAGATCCATGATTTAACAATTTTTAGTCATGAACTTGTAGATTTTAGACAACAAAATTTTGGCTCAATATTGGCAAAAAAGGAGGCATGAACTTGTAAGATCATTGTTTACATATAATGATTTCAATAAATTGTATGTCTATTGAAAAATATAATGTAGCAAAGAAAATTGTTATCAAACATTAAATATAATTCAATTCATCCACTTGAGGGTATAAACACTTCAAGTTTGCCGATTTAGATCCAACATTTTAATCAATTGCATATTCTCTAGAACGTTTTAGTGTTTTTTCCTTAATTCTGTAGCAAAAATAATTGGAATCGCTACATAGAGTCGAAGAATTTTGCTATTCATAATGACTCCAAGTCTCCAACTAACCAAAAAAAAGGCTTCACAATATAGGAAAGATCCCTCACAATATTTTTAATGGTCATACAAAATCCTTTATCATGTTCTTTTTCTTTTTGTGACAACGCAACCATGTAAAAAAGACTGACATAAAAATCACATTAATACAAAAACCACAAAAGCATTAAAAAAAAAACCAGCAACAAAACATACATCAAGGACCCCATTACATTATTTTAGTTCTTCTTTTTAATATGCTCTTTTTAGTTTGTAGTTGTTGCAGCTTCCTCGACGAACTTACTTCCTGCAACATCAACCACAAATCTATAACGAACATCGTTCTTGTGAAGCCTCTCAAAGGCAGTGTTAAGCTCATCAATCTTCACCACTTCAATCGTAGAAGTAAGCCCCTTCTCTTTGCAAAATGCCAACACTTCCTCTGTCTCTTTAATACTCCCAATAAAACTCCCCGATATCACTTTCCTCCCTATAAAAAAACTCAAAACTTTACTATATATCGATTTTGATTGTTATTAGACATCATGCATGATTTAAAACACAAGAAAGACGTACCAAGAATTATGAGAGGGGTCAAGAACTGAAGAGGAGTGTTGATAACACCCATGAGAATCAATTTCCCATCGAGTTTAAGACAAGATAAGTAAGGCTCGAGAGGGTGAAAAACCGGTACGGTATCGATGATATAGTCAAGAGAATCTGCGATTTTTTGCATCTCTGTTTGATCAGAGCTCACTACGTAGTCGTCGGCTTTTAGATGTTCCATTGCTTCTTCTCTTTTCTTCTCCGATGAGCTAATCACTGTCACGTGATGTCCCATTGCTTTAGCTATCTTCACACCCATGTGCCCTACTCCTCCTAACCCTACAATCCCTCCTTTGAGTCCACTTCCCATTAGACCGAAATGGCTCAACGGACTGTAGACTGTTACTCCCGCGCATAGTAGCGGCGCAGCCTGCTCCACGGCCATTCCTTCCGGGATCTTCACAACAAACCTTTTGACGACAAAAAAGTTAGGTTACTTGTGGAGGAAGAAACATATGCTCAGTGTTTTCTTGTGAATCAAGCAAGAAAGGTTTATTTGTGTGCGTGTTTGATTACTTTTGGTTTACGGTCATGGTATCTGCGAAGCCACCTTGGGTTGGTTTTCCATCGGTGTAGACATCGTTGTAACTCCAGATTCTTTTGTTACAGTACTGCTCAAGATCTGAGCTGCATGGGTTGCAACTACCGCAGCATCCGACGATCACGCCGACTCCGACTACATCTCCTACGGTGAACTTGCTCACATCGGATCCTACCTCCACCACCTCACCTACCACCTCGTGCCTGTAAATCAAATTATGCACTTTTAGTTTTTTAAGAAATCTTGCTTGTACAATCCCCATATATAGCCACATTGACTGACGTTTTTGTCAGCATATTAATTCAA